GAATCAAAGCTGTCCTCTTGTGCTGAGTCAGTTCCTAGGGGGACCACAAGAACAGATAAACCAGTTTACAGGGCTGGGTAGCTCCAGTTGATCCATCAGAATGCAGGATCTGAAAAGAACCTCAAACACCAATCTTAAGTTTTATAATAATGCTGTTATCTATAGGAGCTGAGGAGGTTAGTAATTTTGTGGCCTCTGGCCGCATGACTCCCGAGCTACAATTTCTAATCTTGTGGCTCATTTGTTGGTTTTACAAAATCTGTCTCTAAGCAAAGAGGGGGTTTGCTTCGGGGAAGGGCTGTTATCATCTTTTTTTCAAAGTTAAACTGCAAACTAAATTCCTCCTAAAGTTTGTTCACCCTACACCCAGGAATGAACAAAGGCAGCTTGGAGGTTAGAAGACAGAGTTGGTTAGATCAGATCTCTCTCACTGTCAGAATTTTTTCAGTTATAATTTTTACAAAGGCAGTTTCATTAGCACAAGTTTCTGTTGCCTTCTTCACAATTTAATAGATAGAAGATTCATTCTTACTATAGATCTTAGCAACCTCAGCATACAAACTTTTTTCTTTCCTTATGAAGTCAAGAACTTTCACCTTTTCACTTAAAGAAAGCACTTTATGGTTTCTCTTTGGCATATCTGAACTGTCAGCATCACTACTTGTGATGGTTAATATTCGGTGTCAACTTGACTGAATTAAAGGATGCTGAGATGGCTAGTAAAGTATTGTTTCTGGGGATATCTGGAAGGGTCTGCTGGAGGAGACTAACATTTGAGTCAGTGGACTAGGAGAGGAAGACTCGCCCTCAGTGTGGGTGGGCACCATCCACTTGGCTGCCAGAGCAACTACAACAAAGCAGGGGGAAGAAGATGGGGTAAGTTTACTTGCTGAGTCCTCTGGCTCTCTTTCTTCTTCCAGTGCTAGATGTTTGCTCCTGCTCCTCCTGTCCTTGGACATCAGAATGCTTTGCACTCTGAGACTTGCACCAGTGACTTCCTGGGGACTTTTGGGCCTTCAGCCACAGACTGAAGGCTGTACCATCAGCTTCCCTTGTTTTGAGGCTTTCAGATGTGGACCAAGCCACTATCAGCTTCTCTTTTACCCTAGCTTGCAGATGACCTATCGTGGGACTTCGCCTTGTAATCATGTGGGTCAATTCTCGCTAATAAACTTCCTTCTATATATACATATATCCTACTGGTTCTGTCCCTCTGGAGAACCCTGACTAATACATTAGTCTTGTGCTTTGGGGCCATTATGAAATAAATTAAGGATTCCCTGAACACAAGCACTGCAATACTGTGACAGTCGATCTAATAACTGAGAGGGCTCCTAAATGACTAAGGAGCAGGTGGATAGATGGTGTAGATCCTCTGAACAGAGGGAAGATTCAAGTCCCCAGCAGGATGGGATCTGAGGGCACAAGACTCAGTCATACTACTCAGAATGCTATGCAATTGAAAACATATGACTTATTTTATTTCTGGAATTTCCCATTGAATATTTCCAACCCAGGTTGATTCCAGGTAACTGAAACCATGGAAAGCAAACAGAAAAAGGGGGAATTACTATATTTACAAAAGTAGGCAGTGGGCCAGAATTTACCCTTGGGCAGCTATTTGCTCACTTCTGCTTTACAGCACAGATAATTAACAAATTATCACTGTGTGCAAACAGTATGAAATAATATTTTTAATACAATGTTGAGCAAAAGGCCAGTTGCAAAGGAGCAAATGCTGTTCAAATTCATTTATATAAAATTCAGTAACAGGCAAACCTGACCTATGGCTATAAACGTAGGAATAGTGGTTCCCTTTGTGCAGAGGTAGTGATTAAGAAGGGCCAAAAATGAGACATCTGAGATGCTCTCAATATTCTAGTTCTTCACATGAACATAAAAAGGGGAACAGCAGACACTGGGACCTCCTTGAGGGTTCAGGTTAGGAGGAAGGAGAAGAACAGAAAACGTAAGTATGGGATGCTATGCTTAGTACCTGGGAGGTGAAATAATCTGTACAACAAACGCTTGTGAGGTGACACGAGTTTATCTATATAATAAACCTGCAAATGTACTCCTGAACCTAAAACAAAAGTTAAAAAATGTATTCTAGTTCATGGCATGGGTGATGTTTATATGATTTCACTGTGTGAAAAATTAATCAGTTAGTTTAGATTGTGTGCACTCTTTAAATGTATATTTCTTTTTTTTTTTTTTCCTGAGACGGAGTTTTGCTCTGTCGCCCAGGCTGGAGTGCAGTGGCGCGATCTTGGCTCACTGCGAACTCCACTTCCTGGGTTCAAGCAATTCTCCTGCCTCAGCCTCCCAAGTGGCTGGGACTAGAGGCGCCTGCCACCACGCCCGGCTAATTTTTTGTATTTTTAGTAGAGACGGGGTTTCACCGTGTTAGCCAGGATGGTCTCGATCTCCTGACCTCGTGATCCGCCCACCTCAGCCTCCCAAAGTGCTGGAATTACAGGCATGAGCCACTGCACCTGGCCTGTATATTTCAATATAAAGTGAAAACACAATTTTAAAAAACTGAAAAACTGAAAAACTATAATAAACCTGCTCAATTATCCAGTATAGTATATTGGATAATATATACTAAAATGAGAATGTAGAAAATGCTGAGGGCAAGGGTGGTGGAAGAAAACTGAGGAAGCACAAGATTCTCATAATAAAAATAATAGCTAACACATACGAGCATTTAATAGTTGCTAGGAGTTGTGCTAATTGCTTTACAAATGTTATCTGAGCAACCCCAGGCTACAGCCCTAAAAGATAGTATCAACAATGTTTCCACAGTTGAGGAAGCTGAGACACAAAAAGGTTGAATACCTTTGAAATACTCGTGAAGTTGACAGTAGAGGAAAAGAATACAAACCTGAGTGGAGTGAAATAATAAGTGAGAAGAAGAGAAGAAGACACTGAGCATGACTGGAGACTTGTGGAAAGTGAACACTAGACCCCACTTAGGAAAATGCAAGTCGTTTTAGACAATTGGAATGACAAAAACTCCTAGGCAATTGTGGATGAGAAACTGTAAGCAGCCGTGAATCCATATGGGTCTGCAGCAGCCTTAATTCTTGCCTCCTCAGAAGGAAGAGTTCAACTGAGAGGCATAAGGCAAGAGGGAGAGAGGGAGAAAGGGAGGGAGAGAGGGAGAGAGGGAGAGAGGGAGAGAGGG